GACAATCAGCTGGCAGCAGCCGTTACCTTGGGAATTGCGGCCTGGAGGGAGAGTGTGGAACAGCGGATACGGTAGGTGCACGGGTAAAACTCCTGCTGAGGAAAGCCCCGCTGCCCCGCTGGTACGGAGGCCGTTCAGAGCTGCGATCTAGCGGCTATCCCGAAGTCTTGGCAGTTAGGTTAGGCCAGTTTGGAGATGTTAGTGAACACAGCGTAGCATCCCTCACGCACGGTATGGAGTGGCTTGTGCTAAGGGCAGAGAGGGGATCATTTCGTTAGAAGCGAGACTAGCACAATTCCTGTTGTGAGAAGAGGCCTCTTCTCTTTGGGAACTGACTGCTTCCTCAAACGAGCAGCTTCCATGTCATGACACAAGGGCCATCCTTGTGCGAGAAATACAAGCGCATCCCTGTTCTGTTGTTTGCGTAAGTGGTTATTTCAGTTCATGTTTAACTTTCAGTAGCCTAAGGACTATTGAAGACAAAGTGCTGTATTCTCCAAGCGAAGAAATGAGTCTCTGGTCTGGCATATCAGCCTTGCTTGGCGCAGCTTCAGCGTACCCTTTTGAAAGGTTTTACCTTCTATCTTGGTGTGGTGGCCTCCGTCAGTAGGTGCAGCACTAAAAGGAGAGTTGAGTTACCCACTTTCCCCATTCAGTGTAAAAATTAACTATATCTCACACAGTTCTTATCGTATTGCTTGTATACTCTTATCTGGAGCTTAACCTTGATCTCTTTCTAAGCACAATTTGCAAATACAAGGAATATAATAGGGGGAGAAGCAGGCCTGTCTTCCATAGGATAGGAAAGCTTGGATGAAGGTTATTTTTCTGTGTGTGTGTGTGTTAGCTTCTCCTTTCAAGTTAGGTCTTGAGACCGTATTGTGGGAATGTCATAGATTTCTGATCTTATGCTGTAAAATGCAATTGCGCTTAGATTGCAAGGCCTGCCTAAAGAAGGTTTTGTTGTAAGGAGCCTTGAACTATGAACATGTTACTCTTCTCCCAGGCATTTGTAAAATCTGTGAATGTTTTTGTCCTCTTCATCTAGTAAATGCCTCACTGCTTCAAACTGAGGTTGGTGTGTCTAGGAAATTCAGTGGAGGTTTGCAGTCTATTGGCCTGTAGCCTGCCTGAGGTACTGAAATAAGCCAAAATACTTGCAAAATGCGTATTTGTATTTGGAATATGAGGGTCTGTTGATGTGGAAAACCAAGAGGGAACTAAGTGGGATTTAGCATGAAAATTTCACTTCTCGGAACAGAACTGAGCTTCGGCATTCAGGAAGGGAAACCTTAGGTGACAGCCAGGCTTAGCCCTGCCTTTTGGTTGCAAATGTCCTGTTTATTGCCATCCTGTGTCCCTCCTTAAGGGTCTCCTGTCTCTACATGCTGTATTAAAGCACCAGGACTGGCTTGCCCAGTAAAAGCAAGTGTGTGCGCATGAGAGAAGGGCTGTAGCCTTGTCTTTTTTTGTAGTTCAGCTCAAACCTTTAATGGCAGAAAATAGGTCCTCAGCTTTAGGAATGTGCAGGTAGTTGTACAGTAAAAAATGAGAGCAACTGGCAACAGAGCTACTGGGAAACCCATGGGGGCTGGGGGTTTCCTGCAACATCAAACTAGGTTTTCTAGACACAGTTACTGGAGTGCAATTATTTAACTAGATCCATAATATTACTTTGAGAAGTATAGGCTTCCTTCAGCTTTGCAGTGAGATTTGCATTCTTTTTTTTTTTTTTCTGTTTCTCGTAGCCATTTTACAGCTGCTTGGTAGCTTTTCTATGCTACCTTTTGAAAGGGGCCATCGCAGTTAACTAGCTATATCTACTTTTGTGGCAGTTCTCCTTCCTCCCAGCCTACTGTTTTGATCACACACAGGGGAGCATAAGGTTTTCAAGACCTCTACGTCTTTGTCAAAGTTGGTCCAGTTTGGCCAGTGAATTCCAAATTGTTGTTCTTGGAGGCACCAACAAGCTCACAGTCAACAAAAGAGAGAGAAATGTTATGAAATCAAATTAGATACATGTTACTGCTGCTACCGCACTGAGCAGCCAGGAGGCAAGGGAGGAGGCCCATGTCCTGTCCCCTCCTGCCTTCTCTGCCCTGCCCTGTCCTCAGGGTCGCTCCACCAACTTCATTGCAGCCCTGCAGTTTTCTGTTGGTTGCTGCCATTGGCCTCAGTCAAAGGCCCTTGCAGAGGATGTGGCACAGAGTCACGTTCAAAGGCCTAGGGCCTGAAGCAGGACACTGGTGCTGGACATGTGTCACGAGGTGTTTGCGGCTCTCACAAAACAGGTACTTAGAGACATGTGTAACAGGGTAGGAAATGGCAGCAGGAGCAGGGCTCTGCCCCAAGCAGCTCTGGGCAAAATGGTGTGAGACCAGGAAGGAGCGGGGAGGGATTTACAGGAGCTCTTCCTACTCTGAAGACTTGGGGAAGCAGTCTGGGTACATTGATGGCTCTCTAAGGCGTAGTGGCTGTGAGCTCTGCGCCCTTCCATGGGCTGTATCCTGCTTCCTTGCAGCAGTCGGAGAAGGCCTGGGGAGAGGTGTACTTTTCTGCCCTTTTTGCAGCTCATGGGGAAGGGGGAAACCTGGCCCCTGCTGCCCCTGACCTGGAGAAGGGAGAGGCTGAGGCGGGGGTGAAGAGGAGGGGGCTGCTCACCTATGTGCCTGCCACCGAGCTGTGTGACAGGGGTTCTGTGCTCTGCCTAGGAAATCCTGGCAGGAATAGAGACACATTCCTCTGGCTTCTGGGATCAGCCCCTTGGGAACATGCTGCCTCGCTTGCACTGCACCATTGAACTGCCATCCACCCAGCAGATGCTTATTTGTCACTTTGGGGCAAGTGCAATAGCAGGTGCAGATCTAATGGGGGTTGAGACACTCTAAAGCCTGTTTAATCCTCTGACCCAACCCTGGCAAATCTGCACCTGGGCCATCTGCCAGGGACTAGCACTTCCCACGGCCCTTGTTCTCCTAGCTGCTATAGGACACCTCATGTCCTTCCCACTGGCTGCTGCAAAGCGAGGGCTCGGGGTCAGTGTCCTGTCTTGTGCATTGTCTGTGCGTGCTTGCCATGGGCATGTTTGCTGTTTTCATGCATGTCTCACAATCCTAACTGCTCTAGATATGGCCCTCTCATACCCTGTGCTGCCTGAGTCCTAGAAGTGGGACTTGCCAGGAGGAGAGAGCAAGGCTCCCTTGTTGCCCTTTATGCTTCTCTCCCGCCGCAGGGGAGCAGCATTGGGTTTGGCTGTGCGTTTTGACTTGCCAGAGCCCACATTACACAGTCTTGTCTTTTGACATCTGCTCCTTCTCATACTGGTTGTCAAACTGAGCAGATATGGCACATATTGCTATGCGTGCTCAGAAAAGGAAATGTTGACTCACTGAGTTTGTTATTGCCTTTCTTCATTGGTGTCCAAACTCAACAGGTTAGCAGTAAATGTCATATTTTATACAAACAGCCAGATAGGAATCTTGGGTGTGTGATACTGTTGATTTAAGGTGAAAAATTGAGTTTGACAGCACAGTAAGGTCATCGGCTCTGTTCTGCACTGGCCTTCTCTCCTTCCGGCAACGCAGATGTAGAGGGGATTTGCAGGCACAGGCACTTGTCCAGACACCAACGTTTGTGTCGTAATGTATGACAAGGGCCTTCACAGTGTATAAATGGAACTAGCAGGTAACAAAATGTGGATATTAAGAGACACACACTAGTAAGCATCGTTGCAGCCTTTTCTTTCTATTTAGCATCTTTGTGCTTCTCTAGTTTGGTTAAGGTTTACTTTAAACCACCTCTACCTTGTATCCAAACTGAAAACAGGATTGCATCAGGACCATTTGCAAAGACTGTGTAGATACCTAGGAAAAGGGAATCCATTTACATCCAATCCATCCCAAGGAATCCAAACCATCCAGACTTCTGTGTAGACCGTGACAATTTAGTTATTTTGGCAGTGATGCAAATAAAGAGGAAATGAGCTATCACCATGTGACCTAGTCACATTTGTGCCTCAGGAGCCCATAAGTTTACAATTGCAACTTGTTTTTACTGTAATTCAGCTTGAATCAACACAAGCAAATTTTCCAAAGTGTAACAGCAAATTTGATAAAGATTCAGAATGTACCATTGGAGGCAGAGTTCTGTCTGAAGTTGATGTATTTCCTATGCAGTTTCTGTAGGGCTGTTTTGCAAGCTTGTTCGCAGGTCAGTATTTGAATGTTTGGATCACCAAGCCAAGTTATTCCAGGAAAGTGTTTTGTTTCTCATTTATTAATGAAAAAATCTCCATGAGTGTGAGGTACAGTTCACATGTTGTTATTTTGATGGAAGGAGCCGGATGCTTTAGTGAGCAAAGTGTATTTATTGAGTCAGGGATGCTGTAACAGAGCTTAAAATAGCCTGCTATCCTCTTACATGCAATGGGAACAGTGGGTCCTGAGGAGGGAAGTTTTTTCTCACTAGTGTCAGGTAATGAATCTCTTTGTAGTTCTTATGATTAAGAAACATCCTCCAGTGCCAGACAGTCAAACCTGAATCATTTTTGGACACTTTGGCCCGTGCCCAGTCTGTGACTTGAAACACTCTCCAAAATGGAAATATCCTTACATAATTTTTCTTTGCACCTTGTAAAGAAGGTTTGGCAAGCAGTGTAACAGGGGAAATTCCTGTGTCATCAGAACCTCCCTCACAGTCACAAGATGAGTTGCATTAAATCACAGTCTGAGCTGGGCTGTAGGGCTGGCTATGTTGTAACTCCAAAGAGAAAGGGAGAATTGGTACTGCAATTGGCTCTGTAGTTTTGGAAGGTGGAAGCAGAAAAGGACTGAAATAGCAAGTATAATTTAGAAAGAAATGTAAATGAAGTTTCTGGAAAAGAGTTGGGATGATAGGAATTCATCACTAAACAGGATTTAAAATGCCAAAGCACCTCTGTTAAATATGTTTGTTCTGAGATGATAAATCCATTCATTTTATTTTTATTTTTTATAGAGTTGCAGGTTTCACAGATACGAATAATCTTCATCAGCGCAAGGATCATCAAGGATATGAACACTGCTGTTTTGATCTAGATGGATGGAAAGGTTGACAGCCCAGACAAGAAACTCCTTTGGTTTTCAAGATGGCAGCAACAAGCGGCGAGAGCCAGTTGCAGCGGATTATCAGGGACCTGCAAGGTATGCTGTCATGGCAATAGGTTAATTCTGTAGACTGGGCTGCATCCTGCATGCTATAATAACAGAGGGTGAGAGTTGTGCTTTTAACTGTTTAATACTTGAAGTGCGTTGTCCCAGTTGCTATATACAAGGTCTTCCATGTGCTCAGTGGAGACGGGACTGATTTTTTTTCTGTGTGAGGGAAAAAGTGCTGTACTAAAGATCCAAAATCGTTAAATCCTGCCAGCTTCAATACACAACATCAGAAATTTGTCTTAGAACTTGAAGACATTTTTCTGCAGAGGGAAAGCAGAATTATTCTCGTGTGGTATGAGCTAGGACTTTTTCACATGAGAAGAGCTATGCTGGTATAAGACTTCACGAGAGAAACAGAGTATCTGATATTTATCCCCTCCCTTGATGGGAATCTGGTGTCAAGCTGCATTTAATGTGGGGAAGGACAAAATAGGGGGCAAAAGTAATGTGAAGATAGAGAGCCAAAGGAAGAATAGTGGAGAATTGGATGTGCTCCTCTCGCTGCAGTGGAATGTGCTTTCTGCACACCTGTCTTGCTCTCCACTGGCAGTAGCCAGAATAATTTTTCACAGCTATGTTGCAGGCAGTATTGACAACAGACTTACGTTTTTCTGTCCTGTCTGTCCTAAGCAGCCAGGCACTTTTCCTCTTTGTTTTTATTAAGTATAATACACACCAAAGCTGGGAGTCTGGATATTCCTAAAACATAAAAAGGAGACCTATGTGTCTGCTAACAAGGAGAGATTTTTATTCATAAAATGGATGAAGATTGTTAGAGGGTAGGGCTCACTCGAGCAGTTGGAAGAAATGCAGAACTAGATTGAAGGGGTAACTTTGGGTGCTGAGAAGTATCTCCTTCTGGGGCCAGAGAGCAGTGTGCTTTCATTTGGGATGTCCTATCCCACAGTGGGAGTTGGTTTTAGGGAAGAGAAATTGTTGTATGCTTCTAGTTATGTGATTTTTTTTTTTTTTGCCATTTGCATTTTGTAACCAGTACAAGCTGAATCTTCCAGAATAAAACGTAGAGAAGATAAATGTGCTGACTGAATGACTGTTCTTGTGTTACTGATCCCCTTTAGCAGATTATGTGTTCTGTCCTTTCTAATCAGAATTGCCTGTTGCAATAGAAGAACCTAAGTCTGCATATGAGACAGCAAAAAGTTATTTCTCTTTCCTCTAGAGAATCAAGGTTGCAACTGTCTGTTACCACTTTTCTTACAGAGCTTCAGGAGAAGGTTTCACTACTTTTAAGGAGAAGAGATAATAAATCAGTATGACAGCTTGCATAATTTGAGATCTAGTTTTTGTTATAGGTGTCCTTAAATTACAAGCATAGCAGTAAGCTTTTGCATTGTCATTAAAACATTTTTAACTGAAAGAAACCAAAGACACATGCATGGCATGAAGGCAAAAAAAAATATTTAGATGTTTAGGGATTGATTCAGTACTAAATGTCTTTTTCATTAGTTAGTCATTCTTACCTCTTGCTTTGAAGATGCTGTGACTGAATTAAGCAAAGAATTTAAAGAGGGAGGGGAACCAATCACAGATGACAGCGTCAGCTTGCAAAAATTCTCCTACAAGCTTGAGTACCTTCTCCAGGTAAAAAGTGATGTTTGTTATTCATAATCCAGCATCAAAGTTGGGCCTTGCTTTCTGTTACTGTCTCTACAAAGTGTGGGGTATTCAAATAGTAATTGTAAATAGTCAGCTGAATGTCTCTTACTTCAGTAAGTGGGCTGAAATGTGTGGTCTTTCATATATCTGTTTCAAGTGGAAGTATATAAACGTAATCAAAAGGTAGTGTTGGCAGGTTGGTTGGACAATGTAAGACATTTCCCATAGATCTGGGATTTCTGAGCCTGATTTTTGAAGACATGCACTTCTGAATTATCCTGGAAAAGCTGTGTTAATGAGGTCCTGACCACATTTTAATGCAAAATAAATACAGATAAGTAGCTCACAGTGCAAATACACCAGTCTGAATAACGTAGAGAATGTTTTGTGACTTCATTGTGGAAATTCATTTTTACAGTATTTAAAACTTAATGCAAAAGGCTGGATTTAAATCTTGAATGCTGCTTTTTGGGCTTTTCAAAGTTTAAGAACTTTTAAATTGTAAAAGAAGATGCTTTGCTAGGCAAACAAATTAAGTTTGTATGGTCTATGTCTATACACACTATAATCACATCACTGACCTCAACACAGACACTCTAATCTAGCCTTAATCCAGGCAAGGTAGTTTTAATTGAGTTGCACAGGCTTCAGCAGAAGCTGAAGAAATCCTTTGGGATTTGAGTATCCAAGATGCATTCCATACCCATCCTGCTTCAGCCCTCTCTGTATGATTTAGCTCGAGCAAGTTTTTCTGCTATGTACACACAGACTACTGTCACACTTCTTGTTGCGGGCCTTATGGTTCCTTGCAGCTGATAAACGGCTGCTGAAGCTGCTCTAAAACTTAATGTTTCAGAATTTCTGAACAGATGCCTATATTTAACTAAGGCAGGAACATTAATGTCTGTTACTCTTTGTAAACTAGCTTCTGGGGTTGCATTGATGGCATAGACTATCTCTTCCCTTTATGAATACTTTGTCTAAAGCTAAGAGGAGTTATGAAAGTTGTGAGAGGAACAGAATTCCACATTAGCTATATTTAAGTGTATTTATATTTGTTTCACTGATTTTTTTTTCTTGTTTAAGTTTGATCAGAAAGAAAAAAACACACTGCTGGGAAATAGAAAAGACTACTGGGATTATTTCTGTGACTGTCTGGCAAAGGTCAAGGGAGCTAATGATGGAATCCGCTTTGTTAAGTCTATTACAGAAGTAAGTATATCTAGTAAACATCACAACACAGCCTTCGTGGTTTAGTATGTCCTTCTGATGGAGCAGTAGCACCAAATTATATAGGACTAGATGGCCTGAAGTGTTATGTGAACAAAACATATGTTGGTCTCTGGGTCTGCTCTGCTTTTTCATTAAATTACTGACTTTCACTCTAAAAAGGAATGAAAAATTAAGCCAAGGACAGAGCCTGCCATTGTTAGCACACCTTCCTTTGTAGCAGAGCTTGCTGTAAGTGTGAGAGGAAAGAAACAGCACGTTAAACTTTCTTTCGCTGACAAACACTCGTTTATCGGTGAAGTTGAGGAGCGACTGAGAGCAGAGTTTCATCTCCTGTCTCTGCTTCATTCCTTGATGTCAAAAATAGGGTTTAATGGTACAGGTTGGTTGTCATTGTTACCTTTGGTAGGCTAATATAAACAGGGCAAATAAATTATTATTTTTATTAGATTTGGTAATAAATCTCATAACAGCCATGCTACATCTGTAACTAGATTAGTGAATGAGATAAGTGCGTCAAGAAGTTTACAATGCTGATCCTGTCTGAGTCTTTCGACTACCCAGAGTCATTTGAAGAGGAACTTCCCTGTGGGGAGAAAGAGGTGGTGGTTTGACAGTGCAGCCTGATTGTCCTGATGCCTGGTTTTGTCATCTCTGAGCAGCAATGCTATGTTACTATTTACAGCAGATTTACTGTTCTCTGAGCAATTCCTCCACAGCAGATCCAGCCAGAGCTGGAGCCATCTGAAAGAGTGAGGAGACTCCAGCACAGGTGGGCTCTATGTTCCCTCACTCATTTTGTCCTTCAAATTTTCTGCTCCAATGTGGACAAGCCACAGCAGGCATTAGAAAAAGAAGTGAGGGAGAGCCCAGAAAATCAATTTTTCTTTTTCTGCAGCCCTTAGGAAGATCAGAATAGTAAAGGCAGTGACTTCAGCTGCAGAAAAGATCCTCTAGCTGTAGCTACTGTCCTGTGAATTCTCAGCTGCAGCAGCCAACCTAACTTCTCTGCAAAAACAACCATGCTGTGGGCATCAACAGTCTGTTTAGTGTGGTAACACTGTGTATGTTACCAAGTCTTGGGGCAGCTCTGCTTTTCCTCCTTCTCCACTAGCTTTCACTATTTAATGTTTTGCATGATACCAGAAATTATGGTTTGGTAGAAGGACATTTCCTGTTTCAGTTTCTTTGAAGCCATAGAAATTGGCTTTCTTTTAACTTGATAACTTGGTTTGTTAGCTTGTGGTGAATATGCTAGAAATGAATATGGGAATGTTCCCATTCAGCACAGGTGAAAATGAGCAGGCAGTATTTGAATCTAGCTGGGTAGAATTTTAAGTGTTACAAATCTCATGTGTTTATTCACAGAACCGTGTATGTTGTCTTTCAAAGTTGGAAGTGAACAAGGAGGAAAGGGTAATGCCAGTCAGTCTTTGAGGAAGGACAAACATTTAACAGCATGTTGCCTCCTCTTCCGCTTTGTCTGCAATGCTCTGATATTGAGGTGCATGGCACACTAGAGAGACAAAGCAGATAGAAAATGGGAGCACTCCAGAAACTGCCTTGCTGTTAACTAGACAGCCTAGTCCTTGATGGCATGAGGTGAATTGTGGTTGCTTCCCTGCACTGCGAAAGTGATTACACTGAGAACACTTCTTTGCAAGTCTTCTGTAGCTGCCTATTTTTCTGGTTTTAAGACCTATGCCCAGCCCTAGCACCTTAGCTTGAGCAAAGCGTGCACTCAGTATGGAGCCTGCCTTGTTGAAGTCTGACCGGCTCTAGAAAGCTATCTGGATACTCTTTGGCTACTGGTAGCTGCATATGTGTAAATATTTCCCCCCTTTTCTGTTGTCAGAAATGTTCTCATGCCCTTATGCAAAGAAGAAGATTGTTATTGGTAGGCCAATGGGAATAAGGACAGAATTAGCTCGGTAGCTTTCAGTGGGCTTTCTGGCTAATCTTAAGGGATTCATTAAAAACCTAAGGGAGGAACAAGACTTGACAGTGTGCTGTGCTCAGGGCAGGGATTGCATCTCTCTCGAAAATACCCAGAGATCATTTTTATATAATGTATTGCTGAGATTTAACAAAGAATACTTCCTTTGTGTGCTCTTGTGGGCAGAAACCCAGTGACAGCAAAATCAAGGAATTTTAGATTTAAGATATTACTCTCCATGGAGTATTGATCAAATGAAAAAACATCTGTTATGACCTTTACACCTTCTTCCACTCTTGTCTTTTCAAGCAAAAAATAAAGTAGCCAACTAACTTGAACCTCAACCTTCTAATATTTTCTTGGCCTCCATTTTTTTCTCATGAGTAGATTCAAGTTTGTTAAGTGAGTAAGCTGTTTGGTTAGTATATGAGAGCATAGCTGACTGCTGAGAAAATCTTTACATCTTTTTAATTTTCCATTCCTAAATTATTGATTTCATTGCAGAGTAGTAACAAAACATTAGTGATTTTCTGAAGGACAGCAATGGCTCAAATATGAAAGACAAAACAAAAGAGAGCATCAGTCCACAAGTCAGTAGATTTAACTAAATTCCGTGCAGAGTTTTGTGATTCCCCCTGTGTTGATTTATTAGCCATCTTCCTGAAAAGACCTGTTAATTTCAGTCATGCAACTGTTCTTGGTGAGAGTTTTAAGACTTTTTGCATGGGCTGGGGTTGTATCCTCGGGGGTATGTACATGTATTTCTGTACACCTTTGTGCTATGGATAGATCTGTTCTCAAGCACAGCCAGCTGTGGCAGCTTAGAGTGCCGAAAAACAGGCATTACTGGCTTCTGTTGGAATTGCCTTGTATTGGAATTGCCCTTAGCATAATGTATACCTGGGTACTCAACATGCATTAGTCCTCTGATGCCTTCTATATGGGAGAGAGTGTGTCTCAGTGGCACTTCTTATTACTTCCTTTACACCTAATGGCTTATTCTGTTTTTTGCCTATGGTATGTAGTCTGTCCTGCTCATGTCTCTATACATATTTATAAATGGTGCTTAGATTTTATTTTTATTTTCCTATTTAACCCTTCCAGCTACGAACATCTCTTGGAAAAGGAAGAGCCTTTCTTCGTTACTCTTTGGTTCACCAAAGACTAGCAGATACCTTGCAGCAATGTTTTATGAACACCAAAGTGACCAGGTAAATAGCAAAATACCCTGTTGACTGGGGGATGGTTCGGTGCAAACAAGAAACAAAACATAATATTGACAGATGGCTATGAATGAAATGGAAACCCTTCCAGTGGTTGGCTTATAGGGCTGATAATAGGATACAAATAAAAATAGACCATCCAGCCTGGGTTCCTGGTTCATACCCATCTTAGGCTGGTAAATGCTGAAAGTTGTTACAGTTCAGCACATGTGCAGTGAGTGGCTCATCCAAGTCCTGATGCTTCTATGTGAGTTTTGAAGGTCATTTTTTCATAAATACTGAAGATACTGGGTTTGTCTTATGTGCTGTACATTAGAAAGGAAATTAACTGGGTTGTGTTGTGCAAAGCCTCAGAAAGCGTTTGCTACTCCACAGCAAAGGCACTTTATAGTTAGTTGGGAGGAATGTAGGTTGGGTTTTTAGGAAAAGCCAGCTGTATGGAAAAATCCAAAAGGGTGCTTCTTGGAAAAAACTGTTTTTGTAGGCTTAATTGAGTCCGTTTGCCTTCATTTGTATTGAAGGGGTAGCATCTTGGTTGATGGGTCTAGTTGCTTTCATTTTTCATTCGGTAATTTTTCTAGGACAGAGTCAGTGTTTTAGGAGAAAAGAGCAATTTTTTTTTATTTTCTTTCAAGAGAAACTCCAGCTTTGTTTCACTTATAAATGAGTACTACTTTATTTTTGTTTTGTTTTCAAGTGACTGGTACTATGCAAGAAGTCCATTTCTGAATTCCAAAATGAGTTCTGACATTGTGGGTCAACTCTATGAGCTTACTGATGTTCAGTTTGACCTGGCATCAAGAGGCTACGATTTAGATGCTGCATGGCCAACATTTGCCAGGTAAGATAGAAACACTTAATTACTTTATAGCATGTAATTCCCATAGAATTTGTAAAAGTTTTTTCTTCTGAAGGTGGGAATACTTGTGTCAGAGCAGGCATACAGTTACTCCATGTAATTAGTCTATGACTAAGTTGGTCTTTTTTTCTTCTGCATTATACTGAGATCAGTTCTGATGCTCACTGAGGTCTGTAATTGAGTCTTTCCACTAACAGCAGTTTGGGCTCAAATCCCAAAGTATTTTCACCTTCACAGGCACAAGTAGAAATGTTCCTGACTCTTTTGTTTAAAGATCTCAGGCCCCCAATGCCTGAATGGCCGAGGAGTCTGCTTCACTTGCTCTAGGGTAGAGTTGGCAGCGTGCGCTCGCTTTAGGAGGCTGATGGCCCCTTGGAGTGGGGAAGAGCAGACACTACTAGGTCTGGTGCAGGGAGCTCTCCATGGCCACAGACTGCCACCGTCTGGTTGAGCGCTCACCACAGAACAAAACAATTTCATAGGTGAAAAGAGCATTGGATCTTGTACCAATCCCATAGTCTCCTATCAGCACATTTCTCTGTTTTGTTTTCCATCAGCTTCATTGACTGTTGGCCTATACAACAGGCACAGTTATGTATTGCTGTTGTGGTAGTTATAACTAGATATAACTTACAAATAGGAGTAGAAAAGCATGTGTGTATGTGCTTAGCCCTCTCTTCTTGCTCCATGTGACTGACAGGAGAACATTGTCCTCCCTTGGATCTTCAGCATATTTATGGAAACCCCCAAGTCGCAGTTCCAGCATGAGTAGTTTAGTGAGCAACTATTTACAGGTAAGAAGATTAAAAACAAGTGTTTGAACAGAGGTATTACTTCCTTAGCATGATAAATCTTTAGTTACTGGCACAGTTTCTTAAAGCTGGATAATTTTATGATGCTTATGACTCTTACAACAGTAATAGATATTTAATTTGAAATGAAGAGGGTGGTCCAGTAGCTGATTCAACTGAACATGCAATTTTTTTTAAAGGAAAAAGAAAACATACTTAAAAGACAGTGTACAAAATATGTTTTCATTTATCTTTTGTGAAAACAAACCTTTCTTCTTTTAAAATCATGTTTTGTAGTTCTGTGAATTCAACCTGTAATGTCACTGTGCTTTAAGAATCCGAATTCACCCAATGCTGTCATTTGAACAAAGCTTTTAAATGAATGTTTAAATTTCCTTGAAGCTGTTACGAACAAATGGGAATCATTTAAAATTTTAAGTGCATAGGTGATAAAGTTTGTGCTCTATGGAAAATCCTGTAAATCAGTCAATCAGGAGGATATCACTAACTTGAATTCTTAGCTGCCTTTTTTTTAATCCTGTTTTTATCATTATTATTACAAATAGTAACAAAAAAGCTAGGCCATCCTTATTTTTGGAACTTTTGATTTTTTTTGTGTGTGTTTGAAAATGCAACTTTGAATTAAATCTTATACTCTGTTTTCCCTTCTGCTCATGTAGGCCCAAGAGTTTCCCTCCAGCCCTGATGCAAATAACTCACTGAATGTTGAACACCTTGAGGGCTTTGAAGAGATGCGTGTAGAGCTTGATCAGGCTGAGCTGAGACAGAGAGAACTTCAGGATCGAGTTCACCAGCTACAGATGGAAAACCAGGAGCTCCAGGCAGCCATCAACCTGCAAAAAGAACAAGTACAGGTAGAAAAGGAGAAGAGCAGTAACTACAGCGAGGAGAACTCACGGCTGACAAAGATGATCGCAGAGCTGCAGAAGCAGTGTGAGGTCTCCCATTCCACTCAGAGCACTGTTCACGATCTGCAGAAGTGCCTGCAGTCACTGGAGCTGAATGCAGTGGAGCAGCAGAAGGAATACTCAACAAAGCTGGAGCAGCTGGAGAGCAGCAAGGAGAACTGTGCCTCAAAGTTGCAGCTCTTGAATCAGGAGCTGGAGGCCTCCAGGGTTTTGATCACTATGAAGGATCTTTGCATTGATGAACTCAAGGACAAGCTGAGTTCAACAGAACAGAAGAACATGGAGCTCCTGGCAAAAGTTGATGCCGCCTTGGAGGAAAAAGCCACAGCCCACTGTGATTCTGCCGTACAGATACAAGGATTGTTGGATAAGCTTCAGGAGAAAGAAAAGGAAAAGGCAGAAATGCAAAGACTCAGTGATGAACATGCATCTCAGCTTAAAGCAGCAAGGGAGGAGCTGCGGTTGAAAGAAGAGATGCAGAAGGAACTGGAATCCAGATACAATCACCTTACCACTAACTCTAGGGAAGAGAGCGAAAAGCTGCTTGGGAGCCTGGAAACCATGGCAAAGGAAATGGAATCTCTTCAGAAGGCCCTGACCTTGAAGGGGAAGGAGGTGGCTGAGCTCCAGACCCAGGTAATGGGGTTGCTGGCTCAGGTAGGGTCACTGGAAAAAAGTCTTGAGGAGGCAAGGAAAGAAAAAGAGGAACTTGAGGAGGAGCGTAATAGGAGGGAAGGAGCATTGAAGAAGGACATCCAGTCTCTGGCAGAGCAACTTGAACTACAGGAAGGTCACTTAACAAAGGTGAGTCACACTGTGCATAGCCTTGAGGAACAAAACCAGAAAATCTCGTCTGAAAAGGAGCACCTCAGCCAGAAAGTCAAGCAGCTGGAGGAGCAGATGGAGCAGCAAAACTCTGCAGTAAGTGAAAAGGATGAGGAGAGCCGTAAACTAAAATCAGAGAATAAAGATTTACAGCAGGACAAGAAGAAGATGGAAGAGAAGCTGAAAAATGTGGAAGAGTCTAACGCCTCCCTGGAAGCTGAGGTGGCCAGGCTGAGAGCCTCTGAGAAACAGCTTCAGAGTGAGATAGATGATGCCTTGGTATCAGTTGATGAAAAAGAGAAGAAGCTCCGGGAGCAGAACAAACAGCTGGATGAAGACCTGCAGAATGCCAGGAGGCAAAGCCAAATTCTGGAGGAGAGGTTAGGTGCTCTACACTCTGACTACAAAGACATGAAGCAAAGAGAAGAGGCAACCAAGGAGTCTTGTGCTCTTCTTGAAGGACAGGTGAAGCGTGCCAAACAGTATAACTTAGAAATGGAAAAGAGCTTGAGCTCCTTAAAGGAAGGCGAAGAGTCTCTCCAGTCACAGCTCGCTGAGAAGGAGGCAAAAATGCAAAGCATGGAGATCCAGTGTGAGCAGTTGAGAGCAGAAGCTGAAAATCACAGGAAGAAAGCAGAGCTTCTTGAGATGGAAAAGCTTAGCATTGAAAAGACATGTCTGCACCAGACAGAGCTGATTGAATCCCTCACAGCAGAGAAGAAATCAGTGGAAAAACACCAACTACAGCAGACAGCCTCTCTGGAGAAAGAAGCAAAGGAGCTGGCCTCCAGGCTGATCGTGAGTGAAGAGCAGCTGCAGGTCAACCGAGGTGAAGTGTCTAGGCTGCAAGCAGAGGTCCTGGACCTGCGAGTCAAGCTTCAGGAGACCACTGCCGAGAGAGAGCAGATGAGAGGCGAGCTGGCAGTCACAGGGACTGTCTTGGAGGAACAGAAGGTGCTTGTTCAACAACTGAAAGAGGAAAGTGAGTCACTTAACAGAAACCATGTGCAAGAATTGGTGCAGTGTAAAGAGAGAGAAGAAGTACTAAAAAAAGAGCAGGAGAGGGTAGCCCAGCAAAAAGCTGAGCTGGAAGATAATTTGCTGAACCTGAAGGAAGAGCTGTCCAATGTTAAGCAGTACTTGGAAGTTGTTAAAATGGAAAACGAAGAAAACAAAGATCTGCTCCACAGGACCAACACTGATATGGCTGAACTCGGTATTCAAATTTGTGCTGTGACCTCTGAAAAGGTGAATACAGAAGAGAAGTTAGTTGAGGCTACGGAGAGGCTCAAAGAACTAGAAGAACAGACTACAGAGGAACAGGAGAGGCTGAAGCTTGACATCTCCACTCTCAGGCAGGAGAACAAGAGCCTGCAAGAGAAATTGGAGGAAGCTCAAAAATGTGCCGCAGCTGTCCCGAGTCTGCAAATGCAGCTGGAGACAGCAAAGAAACAGGCACAGAGCTTCCAAGAGACCAGCCAAGAAGAGCTGTCCGCAGTAAAATTTCAAATGAGCACAGAGATTCTAAATTATGAGACAAAATACAAGGTAAATTAATGTGATCATTATTCCTCAGGGAGTTGTGCATGATTACCCCTGCTTCATCATCTGATACAGAAATTACTGGGTGAAATACTAAGGTTTGCGGTGCTGGGACCCCAAGACTAGCAGATCACAACTAGCCTTAGCAGGAGAATCTGAAAATTCTTGTCTACACTCACAAGCTAGGTGACTTGAGATAAAAAAGCCCTTTGGGTTTTTTTGAAGATGTGTAATGTGAACCACCCCTCTGAAGCCAGTGGAGGGGCATGTGCCATGGAAAAGGCAGCCAGTAGTGGAAAGGGGGGGTCACTTTTTATGTTCGCTTCAGCACTAAAGGTAGCATCTCTTTGAACTATGCCCTGAAGTCACAGTCTTTTTTTTTTTCTCTTTTTTTTGTTTGTTTGTTTTTTGTTTTTCTTGGTATGAACATTGAGACCTGCCCCCATGGCCCTACACTACTTCCTCTTACAACTGATTTTGATGAAAACAAATTTAGACTGTGACAATATGCTTTTGCAGATAATTCCTCATGTATTTTTGTTTTTGACTGCTCAAGGTAACGTCTGAGAAGATCAAAGTTTTGCTCCCACAAAAGCATGAGTCAGCCCTGTGTATGCGAAGCGGCACACCTGAAGGCTAAAGATTTTAGTGTGTTTGTTCTGCCATTCTGAGATAGTGTCTAAGACTGGCAGCTGATCAGAGGTTTGTGCCCCTGGGTATGCAGAAATCCTGTGAGTGTAAGAAAACTGTGTGCATTCCATTGTGTTTCTTTCTCATATGCACTTAAACCTCAACATTACTTGGGCTGTCTTGCTCGTTTGAGCCAAAACAATTAGTAAGCAGAGTTGTCTTTTTATTGAAAAATGTAATAGCCCATAGCAAGTTTCAGTAAAATCAGCTTATCTGCCACCACAAAAGAGAGTTTTCTTCAATCCATGAGTCGTGTGCCTCTTTAACTGTGTCTTTCATGAGTCTGAAAAGGGCGTTGTGTTTATCCCATGTGTGACAGCAGAGCATTCACATCCCACCCGGGGCAGTTTCCTCGGTGGAGGGGTGGCTGCTAGAGGGGTGCTAACTCCCCCTTCAATGTCTCTGCTAGGCTGTCAGCGAGGAGTGTGTGAAAGTGGAAGAGCAACTGGAGGAGCAGAAGCGACGGCGGTGTGCAGCAGAGGAGGAGATTGCAGAGCTACAAGTAGGTTCTTGACCTGGAGGTGTTTGTGTCAACAGGCATTAGTGTCACCAAACAAGCAGCTGGCATTTTCAATGACTGGTTGTGAGCCTGAGAATGCCCTTGAACTAGTTGCTGCAGCCAGATGTTTGGGAACCTAAGGTTAGCTGCCAAAGCAGAAAATATCAGAGGCAGCACTTTGAAAAAGTCCTCTCCTGCTTTGAAAGGCAGTCAGGTGTTACCTAAGGCCTAGATGCATCTTTGATTCTTAAATGGGAGTGCAGTTTAAACAGTGTCTGCCTTAAGCCCTGTGTTCCTGTCCCGCACAAACCTGCTTGTGGATCCAACTGTTTGTAGGCTGCAAGGGGCACTGAATCAGAACAGATCTGGCAGATAAATAACACAGCCAGAAAAATATATATATACATATATATTTTAAAGCATTTATCAAATAGCTAGGTTAAGAGGGTAATACTGAGATGTCAATAAGAGGTTGAGAAAGCAGAGAGTTAAGGTTAAGGAACCTGGCCCTGTGTGCTGATGGAAATACATACAATACATACACCTTTAGAGGCCTCAGTACAAGTTACATTCATTAACTGAGAGTCCAAATTTGGCAGATTTGTCTGCAGAGGCTGACTGTGGAATAAGTTTTGCTTACACTATCCATCATGTTCCATATAGCTGTAATGAGCGGTCCAAACTGTGGATACTTAACTGTTGTTTTCTTTTGAGACTTTTAGATGTTGAAAAAAATGCTAGACCCATTGGCTTTAATAGATATTCCTTTATAAGGAGACAAAAGCTCATTACATGGGCTAACAAGAATTATAGGCACTGTTTAATGCTGTCTCACTTTAGAGTTCATCCTTTATTCAGTGTGACAGAAGTAATCAATCATTAGTACACAGGTAATTAATGTCTGCTTGCATGATAAAATCTGGATTGATCGCTTGGCTTTAATTGACTCTTTCAAAGCATTGTTTAGATGCCTTCTTAACCATGAAATGCTTGATAAAGTGCTGGTTTTTCTGTATATATAAATATAATTATTTGTTTTACTAGGCTGCAAACACAAGTTTGTCTAGCAAGCTGGATGAGGCAAGAGAGCAGCTGGCTGAATCTGAATCTGCTCGGCTGCAGAAGGAAGAGGAGGTGATATCTCTGAAAGGACTTTTAGAAAGGTGAGAATTTGGTTCTCTTGCACAAGTTGTTATCTGGAGGGCAAGTGAAGAGCCAGTAAAGCCGTATGGAAAGCCGTATGGAAATTTGCTGTGATATATGAAGCAGTGAGTGCCAGCGGATTTATGTAGGGCAAATAGGATGTGGATGCTCTCTGGCAAAATCAGATTGATACCTCCAAGGAGAAGTATGTACATTACGAAGTAATCATGAATTAGGATGCATGATTTAAATTTTATTGCTTTGTTGATCTGGCTGCTGAATTACATACCTTGTCTCATTTCCTTTATGAAAGTGCAAGGCATTTCAAAACCCTTTTACTCTTATAGGTTAATCACAAAATTAAAATAGCAATATTGACTGGGTTTGTTTGTTTGCTTGTTTTTACTAAAGGATGGAAGAATTGCAATTTTCTTTTCTTTCCGTGTTTTTTCAGGGGCACAGTAGGATTTGTTTGAATAGGGCCACATCCTGCATGTCTTATTCAGCAGTTATCTAACCAGGTTTAGACATCTGACTCAGGCTGTGTTTACAAGATCCATCGGTTTGGATCTGTACAGTGCAGATTACCCAGCAGTCCAAAGTAGTTCTTGATGAGGCAGGAGCACACACAGTTCTGATGAACCAGCCAAAGCCTCCATCACTTTTACTGGATAACAGACCTGCATGCAGTTGCTCTGGTGCAGAGAACTGGACAGTTTCTGGTTAGCTGTGAAAATATGCACAGTAATTCACTGAACAATTTCACTGAAGCTTCCTGTTTATCTTCCTTAGAGGAGACTTTCACACACATGAATTAGAAAAGATTCTTAATTGCATTTGTATTTGATCAGGACCCAAAAGGAAGCCGATGAAGCAAAAGAGCAAGCACTTGAATACAGCGAGAAGCTCAGCAAGGTGGTAGCAGACAAAGATAGCAGCGACCAGAAGTTGTTTGCCGAGCTGGATGACCTGACGAGAACAAAACAGTTCCTTGAAGAACGTTTGATAGAACTTATCAGGTTAGCATGAATACAGTCAGCAGGCAGAAATTAAAATCCTGATTTGGAATTTTAAGGGTTATTGCCTCGATGTGCTTAGATTTTGCCTAGAATCCAGTGCATAGATGCAGCCTAAAATCTGCTATTCCTGAATTGAAGGTACCGATACTGCCTGTGTAGTTATGTGAATGACATGGATTTTTTTCCCTTCTTCCCAAATAGTTTAGTGATTTTCCCAACCCATCTTTTATTCCCGAAGGCTCCCTGGAAGTTATAGCAATGCAATTTATACTGTGAAGCTTTCACCAGTGTTCAGTTTGAGGTTAGTCAACAAAGCACCATGGATACTTCTTATGTGTTTTTCCTCCCTTTAACTGTGTCTCTGCAGAGATAAAGATGCCCTGTGGCAAAAATCAGATGCTCTTGAGTTCCAGCAGAAGCTTAGTGCAGAGCAGAAATGGCAGGGGGACGTGGATGTTAACCACTGCCTGGACTGCCAGAGAGAGTTTTCATGGATGGTGCGCCGACATCACTGCAGGTGAGTCTGGGACTCTTAACATGCTGCGCAAAAGGAAAAGCCAGTTTATAGTTTACCTAGAGAAAATACTCCTTAAAGTTCTCAGTTCTGATTTCTGGAAACCAAGAATTTGCATGAGAGAAAGAATCGCTTGCTACACACCATGTTTCTTGCAATCTTTTCTCAACCTGACTGCTGACCTGTGTATGTGGAAAACACCATTCACTAAGCAGGGGGGTTGGACTAGACTTCTAGAAGTCCCTTCCAACCTTAAGCATTCTGTGATTCTATGGTTTTGTTATTGTGATTTAGAATGTTCCAGAATGAACCCAACATGTTGCGAAACTATAAATATGGTTACTGCCTTAGATATATTGAGAGATAATTACCAATTGCACAGTAATCTGTGGAAGAAATAAAAAGTTTGTACTGAGTTGGTTACTCTGAAGTTAGCCTGATTTAAGTCATTAGTTACCTCACTAAGATTTCTTCAAATAGCTCAATAGCTTCAATAGCTCAGATAGTACATTCAGTACATTTCAGAGTCTTAGTGATATATTTGCTTTGGCTCTTTTCTGTCCTTTACCCTATTACCTGATTCATCATGTAAGGCATGTAGAAGTGGGACTCTTTCAATTTTATGGTAAAATAGAGAATGTTTCTTGGTGGTTAAAGAATAATGAAGTATTTTCCAGTAGCAGCTTTCAAATTACTCATTTCTACTAAAACCTGTGAAACCTGTTCATGTTTCCAGCAATACCTACTAGTGATTCAGATAATTATGAAAACCAAAAATGCTAAGACTTCAGACTTGACAATAATACCTTCTAGGTGCTTGTCTTCATGAAAGTCTTAACATGGTAATTAAAATGTATTTTATCAGTTTAGTAATGACAGGCTTTGGAGGTGAGTAGTGCAGAATCCTGAACGTACATACACAGCTCTAATGTTGATCCTTCTTCCTTTTTTAAAGAGGGTGCCAGGGTGACAGAGAAAGTAGAGGCATATAAACTTGTTCTTATACTCCTTAATATTAATTAAATATTTGCTATAACTGAATATGAGATTTGGTCTGTGTAATAATATTTAATATAGGTATTATTTACTTGTATTGCATGCTTGTGGATAATTTAATTCTTTTTATGTGTTTCTTTATATCTAAATGCATAATCTTTCTTTTTTTTCAATATTTGATGTTTAATATTTTTAATGTTTAATGTTTTTAATTTAATGTTAACATTTTTCCACTTTATTAAGAAGACAAAGATTGAATATACATTTCTGTTTCCTGTTTGTCAAGAAAGCTTGCTTAGTCTTGGAAAGCAGCAGAGTGTCCATTATGAGCTTTGCCGTGGATGTGACTTTTACAGTGAGCAAGACTATGTGGCAAAGCCCTGGCTTCTGTCACGTACGAAATGGCCACCTGTAAGTGGCACTACTCTTATGCCTTTGTTTTTGAATCATTTTTAGAATGTGTGGTCGCATTTTCTGCTATTACTGCTGTAACAACTACATGGTGACAAAGCCTGGTGGGAAGAAGGAGCGTTGCTGCAAGGCTTGCTTCAGTAAGCCCAGAGTGTTTGTGGACTATACAGATGACTCTGGGTCCAGTGCAAACCAGGAAGGATCACCAGCTTCTTTGGAATCACCGGTGTCACCTATGGAGGCAGCTTTTGGTTAGTGCACTGTTTCATGTGCTGCTATGAAATAAGTAGCGTTCTTGGATGTTCTTCAGGAAACCAGATGGTCACCTCCTGCTTCATGAACTTGCATACTCATGGAGTGCTGTCGGGGTGGAATTGGTCCGATCCCTGGATGTTGTTAACATTGCCACGCATCCGCATGTAGATTAAGCGAGGCCTAGTGAGCCTGAGGATTACAATTGGTTTTTAGTAGTTGCCTGACACCTCTGTAAATGTAGAATAGTAGCCCAGGATTCCTTCTTTAGCTTTTACTGGTGGCGGTAGCTCATTACTTGGTTTTGTTTTGTTTTGTTTTCTCAAACAACCACAGATACTTGTGCTAACGTTACTGATGTTTTTCTTGATGTTGTTTTATGGCACAGTCACAAGTGAAGCCTCTAAACCACCAGATGATGCAGCATTTGATATAATCACCGATGAGGAGTTGTGCCAAGTACAAGAATCAGACTTGGTCCACAGTGAAAGTCAGATGGAAGGAGAATCTCTGGATCAAAGTGTGACAGATCTGTGAGTAAACAGTGTTTCATGAAATAGAAACTCTTCTAGATTTTATTTTTTTTTGTGTTGTTTTTAAATGGTTATAGCTGACTTTTGTATGAAGAGAAAACACTTCCATTCCTAGCCACATGTTCAGTAGACCAACACAAAATAATTTTGGCCTGTTTCCACAGTCAGTGGCAAATCTAGTAAATCCAAACAGGTCTGTCCTCTCCGTCTGCCTGCTTCTTCTCCAGTATACAAAGAATTAGTCACAATTCTGTGCTGAAAAAGTCAGCTCACAAGCCAGACCAGGTCACTAGTTGTTTCCCCTTTTTCTGTGGTAGGAACTAACAGATACTCTTCATCAGACCAGTCATTACTATGGATGGAAAAAAGAAGCAAAAGTCTTTTGGCAGACTTCATTGAAGCAAGTGTAAAACAACTGGTCTGTGTAGGATTACTTACTACTTAAGAGATTTAACAGAAAGGAAAAAGAACAGCAATTACATAACTAAATCTGCCACAGCTTCACTTTATTTTCGTCAGAAAAGTCATGCAGAACTGCATATTTCAGTCTTTTTTAACATTTGTTTCTGTATAGTTTAGCAATTAAGGCAACGAAAGTCTACTGAGTTTGCAACCTTTATGCTGTGCTGTTACAGTTTAATGTTTTATTTCATTCAAATATTTATTAAATTCCCTTCTGTAAAATGTTCAAAACATGTCTCATGTTTCAAAAATCAGTAATTTCTACTCATATTCTCATTTGACAAAGTTGCAGCTTTCCTATATTGGAAAAGAAGATGAAGAGCAATTTTACCTAAACTCTCTACTTGTTTTGCTTCTCAGAAGAAAAATCAAGGTGATAGATCTAAGTGCTAAACTGAAAATATCCACAGAGTAACCAGTCTGCTACTGAAAAGGCTTAGCTAGATTCTTTTGCTCTCAGCAGAACCACTTCCTGCATAAACCACAGTCACTGCTACTTAAATAGAAGGCAGATTGTACAGACTTGTTTACTTGAAGAAAAAAAAAAAGAAAGAAAAAATGCTTCTCAAAACTCTGTGTTTTGTTTCTTGGCATAAAAAGTTCTGGGAATTCTGCCTATTTTGGATGCCATCCACACTGACAATAGATTTGTGCTTATCATACATGGAGCAGACATGATTGTGTTAAGCCTCACAGTGCTTTTGTCAGCTTAGTATTACCTTTGTTTTACAAAGTGACAGCTACAAGCCAGGGATTTTTTATTTTAGCTCTTGTGTAATGTACTACTGCTCTGAGTTAATGCCTTGGAAGGTTTCATGCTGTCTGCAGAGGGGACATCAGAGGAGAGTTGGCTCTGGAGCCTACAACCAGGAGAAAAGCAAGTTTGTCTGTGGCTGATTTTTTGAGGATTTTTTTAGCACTGGGATGTATTTGTCTTGCCCCATAGTGTATTTAGGCTGGAAGGAAGGATTGCTGCTGAAACTGGAAGACTGCCTTCGGAAGGCTCCCTCCAGCATCTTACTTGCACTGGGTGCTTTTAAAGGTTATGTATCTCCTGTAGTTCACAGTAGGTAAGCAGGAAGAAAATAAGTGCTGCCTTTGGCTGTTTTACCCGTTGCTGTTCTTATTTCTTTCTTATTGCAAGCGCGTCCTAATGGGGGTGTTAGAGTCATCCTTTGGGCTTGGGACATACTTTTGCAAGGCTTACCTGCCCTCTACCAGGGCAGCTGTGAAGTTTGCAAGGTCTCATTAGCTCGAACACGAACTTGCCACAGGAATGGCCTTCTTGCCATGCAGATGGCTCGAGTGTCTTGTGATGATTGGGTGGTTTTGTGATACGAGAGGTGCTGGAATTGATACCGAAGTCAGATGGTGGTGTGACGCCTGTGCTGTGTGCTGAAGACAAAGCCACAGGCAGCATCACCTATCACAGCACCAGCGTTTTCACACTTTGTTTTGTAGTGGGGAGGGTGTGTGTGCCTGAAGCCTGAGAGCAGCTCAGGACGAGAGCAGGAGCAGCGTGTGGTGCCCTGGGTCCTTCAGGGTACGCGGACAGAGCTGCTATCCTGGGACTGAGCAAATGCTCACCTTGCTCCCCCGGCCCTATCCTGGACAGCAGCCTGCAGCACATAACTAGCACCTAACTAGCAAGTTACGTGCTGGTAACTTGCCAGGGTGTTCTCCTACCTGCCAAGGACCTGCGGTGCAGGGGCTTTCTGAGCTGGCTGTGGTTCTGCAGATTCCTTGAATGTACGAGGCTGGCAGGCCACCTTGACTGCACATGGCCCTGTGAGTCTTTCTCATTTTGGCTAGTGTCCCGCTAACTGTGGCCTGGTGCTGGTTTGGAGACTTCAGGTAGTCTTGAAGTACAAATAACAGACCACTGTCATTCCAATAATGTTCTGTTTGAAAAAAAAGCATATAGGGTGGCATTTTCTGTGGGATTGTGCCAGGGAAAGACCAAAAGGATCCAAGATTGTGTTTGGTGGATGCATGTTTGAGGAGTAGCTGGGAGAGGGAAGAGAAGGCAGGTTGGCTGCTCCAGGTTGCCAGTGGCAGCCTCTGCTGTCAGTCTCTCCCAAGGCCTCGCTCTGTCGGAGGGCCTGGGGCAGCTCGTGGCCCTGGCCTTACCTTGCTCTGCCTCTGAGTCCTAGCTGGGCTGCAAGTGGGAGCTGCCACTTTTAAGTGGTGAATATCTTCTACAACGTTCAGTTTTCTGTCTGTCCCTCTTTGCTGCTTGCTGTGCTGATCTATTTTTTACTTTTTTTTTTTTTTTCCGCATAACTGAGTTGCTGTCGTTTGCTCCTTGAGGTAATGTGAAATGATTCCTGTGGCAAGAGCTCCTAACAGCAGATTTTGAGCAACTGCCTGTGCTGGTAGCAGTCAGTTGAGAACCAAGTAAAACTCCTCCTGGTCATGGTCTGCCCAGGCGTGGGGCAGGTGAACTGCATGGGTGCCCACGTAGCCCCGGGCGGCACCAGTGCAGCCCTTCCCTTGGGGCAGAAGGGAGCAACCCTGTGTCTCTGCAACACGGCTTTGGAGCGACCTGGTTGAAAGCTTAATGCGAGAAGATACAATAATCTTTTCCTGCTGTGGTTATACCACACTGCTTCGAGACAGGTGGATTCTCTTGTCAGATGTTATGTTTTTAAACCACTTTTATTTCTAATGTGTTCCCATTAGAAGACTGTGCCTGAAAGCTAAGGCCAGGATATGGTGTCAGAGACCCTGGAGTAAACTAGTGCACTGAGCTTCCATTTCAGCAGATTGCAGAAAAAGCATGTCTGGAATAAGTGCTGCAGCAACAGAATCAAGATCATAGACAGCAGAGGTGTTAAAAAAAAATAATACCACTATGGTTGTGTGGGGAGCACAGGGTTTGTTCGCAGCTTGGCACTGCTGTTGGCGGCGAGGCCGATGCAGTCTACCGGCGCTGCGGTTGCTTTGGCTTCTTTCTCTAGTGACTCATGACGTCCTGTCCTGACCTAATTACACCTCCCCTACAGCCGGGTGCTTGTCAGCACAGCCTGGAGGACAGACTCCCTGGCAGCACGTGGGAGGGCTGAGGAGCAGAGCGGGAGGGCAGCGCCACTCAGTAGCCTCCCCTGGCAACTCCGGCCTCCTGGCCGCCTGCAGGGGTAGCCACTTTACCTGCCACGCAGGCACCAAGGTAAAGCACGTCCCTCCCCAGCTTTGTTTTGGGGGCTGCAGCACCATTTCATCATGGGAGGAGCAAGAGCAGTTGCGTAGCAAAGGGAGGATTGCCTAAGCAGCTGTTTTCTAAGGGAAAAAGGGGACATTGGCACTGTGGTGGCAGTAGGGTCAGGGGAGATCTGGTAGGAAGGCCTGAGTGTTAGTAGGAAGAAAAGGAGCATGCAAAGTGACAGCAGTTATTGCTAAATGACTTGAATGGGTCAGAACTGGTATTTCAAAGCTGCAATGCAAGGGACTTTTAAAGCCCTCCTGCTCCTCTCCAGCCTCCCTCTCCTTTCCTTTCCCCCTGTGCTCTGGTCCCTCTGCAGCGGCTTTTGCTGTCAACCTCACTCTGCACTGCTCCCTGCCACCTTTTTGCCTCCCGGTGGCGAGTGGAAAGGCCCAGGGTGGGAAGCTGTGGGGGACAGAAGGAAGGCGAATAGTGGAAGGGGCCACAACTCTGTGGTGTTGGGTACCCTGTGTGCCAAACAGGTTCTGGGAAGAAAGGCTGCGATACTTTTATTATCGAATAATGCTGCAAAGACTGTGTGGGAGGCAGAGTGAGCAAGTTTGAGTTTCAGGAAACACTGTGAGTGTGGAGAGCCCAGGTGTGATATATCTCTTGTGCTGAAATGAAGTCTAGTTATCTGGCAACATGGGCTTCATTTTCCGAGGTGAGATAGATGCGTTCGGGAGATTGAGACCTGATATTTGATGGCGAAGCAGATGAATGTGCTGTTTTATGACAGAAATGTTACAGCATCACTGAAGAAGTAAAAGGGATGTGGAGGCCGTCTCCCAGCATGGAAAAATACAAAAAGAGGCATTAAAAAAATCACAAAGATCAGATTGAAACTCATATATTTTTAATCCAAAAATTCTCATCAGATAAATGAGCTGAACTAAAATCTCCGGAAAGCTTTTGTTAACAAACGCCTCTCATGGAAAACCATCGGGCCAGAGGTTTGAATAAGTGTTTCCAGCCTCTCTGGGGTCATGAGGTCCAAGTCAGCTTTATGTCATGAGGAAAGGTGTTTTACAGCCTTATCTCTACCTACTGAAGAACTTCTGCAGAGTTAATTTAGTTGCCTGCTTTGTCTTAGGATCAGCCCTGATTCCTAGGAAAAGTAGGAAACACTGAAATGTTATGATTAAGATACATTGCCCTGAAGCAGATCACGTGCCTTTACTAATGGGACTCTGTGTCCCCTTCCATGAGTGCTAGTTATCTCAGTATAACAGAAAAAAAAGAAGCCGTAAAGAGTGCCAGACTCTCTAGGTGGTTTTATAGCGGATACATGGTTGTTGCTTCTGCATTATTTGAGGCAGTAAAAGTCTTAGAGCCT